AGGCAGACTTGGAGACTCTTATACACGCTTTTGTCTCCAGTCGGTTAGACTATTGCAATGGCCTGCTCACAGGTCTGTCCAAACAGGCTGTAAAACAGCTGCAGTACATTCAACATGCAGCAGCTCGAGTCCTGACCAGAACTAGGAAGTACGACCACATTAGTCCAGTTCTCAGGTCTCTGCACTGGCTTCCTGTTCCTCAGAGAATAGACTTCAAAGCAGCTTTACTTGTGTACAAGTCTCTCCAAGGTTCTCGCGCCAAGGTACATCCATGACATGTTTGTGCCATATTAACCGACCCGGACTCTGAGGAGCACAGGGACTGGACTCCTGTTAGTGCCCAGAGTCGGTACTAGACATGGGCAAACTGCATTTCAGATTCATGCGGCTAGAGTCTGGAACCGTCTTCCTGAGAATGTGAGACAGGCGTCTACTCTGGCATCTTTTAAATCTAGGCTCAAAACAATTCTGTTTAGCTGTGCATATACAACTGAATGATTTTATCTTTTCATCTTTGTTTTTATCTTTAATCTTTTTAATGCACTGTGACTATTTATGATTTTAGTCCCATCTGTGATTTTAATGTTTAAAGGTTTTTAATTTTTGTGATTTTATTTTTAATGTTTTTAATATATCTTGTGCTCTCAATGTGTTTGATTTATGCATGATGTGATAGGGGATGTGAAGCGCTTTGCGTTGCCTTGTGTAGGAAAGGCGCTCTACAAATAAACGTTGATTGATTGATTGATTGATTTTTCAGAAGGGAAAAGGAAAAAAGAGAGGACCACCTTCATGCAATAATTTCGCTCTCAGCTCAAAGTGTCAAATTGTGACTCACTGGGATTTATTACATGCAATCATAACATGTGTTCAATCTATTCACATAACCAGAATGTTTTATTAACTTTGAAGCATAGTGAATCTTACCAAACCAGTTTTTCTCCTGTCAAAGACCACAGAACAAATACAGTTTCTCATAGTCAAATTTATAACACTATTAAATCTTACTATGCACTAATTATCTATCAAAAGATCGGTCCAAACATGTCGAAATATTTAACGGTAGAACTCCCAGAGCAGTCCATTTGACGGCTTTTTGTTTTGGAAGCGTATGACTGAGTTCATGAACATGGTCTTCATTACTTTATGATTGTTTCTGTTTCTTTGTAGTTTATTTCCATGTCATTTGATCAAGTATAATTTAAAGTATAATTCTAATTTTTTGTCAACAAACATCCTATAACAATACTGTTTTCTGTATTTCATGTTTTAATTACCAGTTTTTGAAGATGAAAATCGTATACATTGTTTAATTTTAATAAAGGTACTGACATATTACAATATTTTGGGGTGGATTTTTCAGAATTCGATTGCTTTGAATGGGAGCCGTCAAAATGACTGCTCTGGGAGTTCTCGCCAGTAGATGGGCCCCGTCCCAATACTCGCACTTCCACCCTCGCGCCCCTCATTTGCGCGTTCCCGATAAAGTGTGCGAGTGCGTAGGGTGTCCCAATTCTCCAGGGAGGTCTTTGGCCCCGCCCCCTTTTCGCCCCTGATCCACACTTCGCCGTAGCCTGCATCAGTGTTGCCAACTTAGCGACTTTGTCGCTAGATTTAGCGACTTTTCAGACCCCTATAGCAACTTTTTTTCAAAAAAGCGACTAGCGACAAATCTAGCGACTTTTTCTGGTGTTATTGGCGACTTATCTGGTGTTTTGGCGACTTATCTGGTGTTTTGGAGACTCGTGAAGCACGTATTGTTCTGCTGTCCTCAACGTGAGCCCCTCCCCCGTCCCAAAGCACTACAGGCGGCCAGTCTCACAGTAGCCTTGCGCAGCAGTCCCAGCTACAGTCTATGGGCGGAGCAGAGAGAGAGAGAGGAGACTTAAAAGCACAGGAAGTTTTCAGGCTGCTGCAGACTGAACTTCAGCTCCACCACCACCACACATCCAAAGCTCCCCGGCCACTCCTACCACCGCCACCCCCCACTACCCCCCACTCCATCCGCGGCAGCTCTGTCCGTGACTCTGTTTTCTCTCAGTAGTGGGTCACATTAAATCATTTGTTATGCCAAACTATGAAAAAAAAAAAAAACTTACAAAAATAAACCTAAGTAACTCTGCCAGAGTGTGTCTTTTGGGTCACTTTGCCGGTCCCAAGCCCGGATAAAGGAGGAGGGTTGGTTGTAGAGCTAGCAATTTCACCCTACATAACAATCTTTTGATTACATTTGCTGTTATAACATTTAACAATACAGGACAAAACTGATGTGTGTAATGTGTATCTAGACAAAGCATTAAAATCATTAAATGTTGTTAATGTTGAAATTATTTTTGTACATTTGTAGTTCTAAACATATTTAGGGTGTTTTTACTCACTTTTGTCTCTCCCACGACCTTATTCCTCTCTCCTACAGCGTCCGTTACAGTTATTTGCAAATTGCAAATTATGCAAATTAGGCGATGACGTCATTTAGCGACTTCTAGCGACTTTTGGGACAGCCAATAGCTACTTTCCTTACTGAGGAGTTGGCAACACTGGCCTGCATCTATGCGCACTCTGGCGAAGGATATTGCCCATAATTCTTTGCGGTACACACCAAAACGTCGGGAAAATGCAAATTTTGAAATATATATGCAGTATGTGTGTAAATAAGTTTTGCTATGTTACTTGGAAAGAAACATAAACGTCTGATGAAGAATTACGGACATTGTGTTTTAACAATTTAATAAATTTTAAAGCAAGCGTTTATATAACATTCAATTTAAACTTTACACTTATTACAATAATCTTAGAATGTATAAAAACTGACCAGATAGTTACCCACATAAAAATTAAAATTATACAGCTATCTCTAATTAAAAACAACTAATATACATGTATTTTAACGTGTGTGAACCAATTCATTTTGTTTCCCAAAGGGTCAGACAAAATTACCTTTAATGTTTATAAAGTTTAGGTCTGACTATGACCATCTCTTGACGAGTCGATGACGTAACCTGCACTCAGTGTGCACTGTCCCAATTCCGCCTTTTTTGCACGCTTGTAACCTGCGCACTCAAACCCTGGTGTGCACTTCGAACAAATGCACACTTCGTAGAAGTGTGTAGGGTGCAGTGTGGGTATTGGGACTGGGCCTTACTGTCACCATTCTGGGAGCCCCCGTGGTAATACCTGGTTGTAATGACTTCTTGTGGCCACCAGATGGAGACAAACACCATAGAGCTGGCGCCTGCACGAGGGGAACTGTCCTTTCAGCACCACCGCGCACTGAGGAGAAGAACGCTGCATATTCTTCCATTTATATTTAGATGCAGGCAGTGTTTGCGAGATACAGTGGCCTGTGGCTGTCAAATAAGTAAAAGTCAAGCTATATTTAAAGAAGGAGGTTGAAACAAAGCCCCATGTCATAGAGATATGTTAATAAACAGGTATAAAAATGTCCCATGCTGCAACAATTGGATCGCGTGTGTGTGTGCGCGTGTGTTTGTGTGTGTGTGTGTGTGTGTGTGCGTGCGTGCGTGTGTGACTTGCGAGTCTAGTCCACCCCCTTCTTCCGCCCGCCTCCCCATCACAAACGAGCAAAAAAAAAAAAAAAAAAGGCAGCCGAATTAAAACATCCTCCTTCGCTGCGGCACACTCTGGGGCCTTCGGAGGCACAGACGTAGAAGCGAAAACAAACAGGAGAAGATTTTTTTTTTCTTTTACACAGAGAGCTCGAACCGAACCAGGGCTGGAGGTAGAGCTTCTGCAGTACGTTCTCACTGGATTCGCCATCGCATCCCATTCGACGCTCTTCGTGACACAGGCGCTCAATTGTGTAATAGATTTTTTCTTTTTTTCTTTCCTCCCATCTTCCTCCCCTCTCCAGAAGCAAAAGAGCAGCAAGGGAAGAAGCCAGCAGCAGTGGAGGAGGGGGTGCATCGCATTCAACATCGCTGTTTTCATGGCACAAGGGCTATCGAAGGGAGAGCTCCTCGTCTCCTCCTCGCTACCACCACCACCACCGCCGCCACCGCTGCTACTGCTACTGCTACTGCTGCTGCTGCTATACTGCTGCTGCTACACCACACAACTATACCTGTGATTTTACCCCCAACGGGAGCCAGGCGTGCGTCTGTGTCAAGTGATGCCCTCTCTGTTTCCAGCTCGCTCCGTGAACGAGGCAGAAGATCCACATTTTCGCCGGAAAGCTTCCCAGAGCTATAGGGCTACATATGGAAACTGGCGACCAAAATTTTAGGAAAAAGGAATCTCTCCAAGCGGGGGTTTTTTTTTTTTTGGTTTGCTTTCTGTCCAGGCTGCACGCAAGGAGCCCTGCTGATTAATTAATACATTAATTTAGTCGTTGAGGGTTGATTCGTTTTCTCACCCCTTGTTCTATTGTCTATAGCTGCGTGTGTACGTGAATATATAGTGATTTCTGGGAGTTTTTTTGCGCAAAAAGCTACAGCGTCGTTGGTTGGTTTGGATGCTCTCTGTCGGGTTGCTCTGATATGAAAGCTCTCCCCGCCGCTGTCTCTTCCCTCGCGTTCTTCCGCTGAGCAGGACAGTGCGTTGGCCCCAGACCCTGTGCGTGTGTGCCACTTGTGTTCGGTGACTGTCGGAGCCTCATGTCCGTGTGAACAGAGTGAACAGAGAGAAACAGGTAGTTCTCAGGCCTCTGCGCGCCTCGTCTCTGTGCCATTCCCGTCACTGCCAGACGCGTCAGGACGTGTGCTCGCCCCGGCCGCACGCTCCGTCTCTGCACATTGGGATTATTATTGTGATTCAGAGAGAGGGGACGCTGCTTTGGCGCTTCCTCTCTCCTCCCAGACCCGGGGCCGTTTCTCTGCTGTGGTCCTCACCCAAACGCAACCATAAGGTTCCTACCGCATCCTCCTCCTCCTTCTTCCCTCTCCTTCCGCTCGAGTATATCCCGGTTTTTCGGTTTGGTCTGGTCCCGTAAATTTTCAAATATTTACTTCTTGTACATTAAGAGGAAAGGGGGTCCCCCTTTCATGGAATGCGGAAACATGGGTCTGTTCGACCGCGGAGTCCAGATGCTGCTGACCACCGTGGGAGCCTTCGCGGCCTTCAGCCTCATGACCATCGCGGTGGGCACGGACTACTGGCTGTACTCCCGCGGCGTCTGCAAAACCAAGTCCATGAGCGAAAACGAGACGAGCAAGAAGAACGAGGAGGTGATGACCCACTCAGGCCTGTGGAGGACGTGCTGCTTGGAAGGTAAGGCTGACGCACGCCACCAGACCCCGCACTGGACACTGCAGGAAGTTACAAAGTGCTTGAACTAAGGACATGATCTGGACTCATGTTTCCAAGACGAGTTTTGACTCAGTAGTTTCAACACAACCGCTACAGGCATCAAAGAGCTTCACAAACCAACAATGAGCTCATTAAAGCTGAGGTCCCTAACTTTCAAACCACATACATTAAACTATGCAATTCTATGCAATATAATGTCACTGTTGCTGACTCTACAACAGTTTGTTTCACCCTCACTCAGTCCATCCGCTCTCAGCCCAAAGCGTCCAATAGTGACTCACTGGACTTTATTACATGCCAAAAACGATACATACAAAGCTGGCAGCATTTGGTGTTCTTTTCCATTCACATGTTATTCATGTAAAAGAGTTTGGTACTCCAGCTTTAACCTGTTGTGTGGATTTGAAAACTTCTCATTTGGAAAGTTTTTATATTGTAACTTTAGCAACAAAAAGAAAGTGCAGAAAGGACACGACTGGGCTTGAACTTGAAGTTGTTTCACATTTTCAGGAAGACTGTTCCAGAGTTTAGCTGCAGTATGAGTTCAAGTTTGATATTTTTTGTCGTATAGCTTTTATAATCCCTAGTTAGACATAGAAATATATATCTCTATCTATCTATCCATATATGCACAAGTTTTATTATATGTGTGATATTGTTAACACGTTAAACACATTCTGAGTGTAATATTAGTCCCAGAAAGTATTTGTTTACTAAAAAGTTTAAACAGAAGCAATCCAATACATAAAACACTATTAATACACACTAATATTTGCCTCAAAAGACCTCTACATTAAATACTAATCATTTCCCCAATATTTCTCCATCTGAATCTTCTGTCATCTTCTCATCTTTGGTCCGAAAATACTTTTTTCCCTTGACTTTAGAAACCGGTTCAGATAAACTTACTTCAAGCACTTTACCCTTTGCCGCTGACTTGTCTCTAGAATGTACAGCTTGGTCATTGATGTCGCATAAATTGCACATAAAGTAGGATACAGGTTTTGTCTTTGATGGCGCTTGTTGATGAAGAATATTGGAAGTCATATTTGCTCTGTGGTTGCATAGTTTGAATGCTGCAAATGAGTCCAGACGGTTTTTCAAGCTTCGATGTTGGACATAGTTTTGAGTCTGACGAGTTCTCTGCTGTTGTGTTATTTGAGTTTGTTTTGACCGTTTCATTCACACACCTGTCTTCCACATGATGAAAGCCTGACACGGGTCCAAACAACACTCCGACCTTTCTCACATTTGAACCAGGTCAGAGTGGCAGTCCAGCACATGTGTCTATATCTGTGTATCTGGGCTTTGGTCTTGGAGGGTTCTCTGTGATAAATACACTTGGAACATCAACCTCGTCTTTTTCTGAATCATACTGTTTCCATTTTCACCTGGACTCCCAGAATTATGAAACAACTTGAACTCCCAAAGCAGTCATTTTGACGGCTCCCATACCAGTCAATAGACTTCTGAAAAATTCCCCCTTGATATTAACAAAAGTAGTTTTCCACTTTTTAAATTTAAAATTAGGTAATGAATTGGGTTATTACTTTAAATTTAAGCTAAAATTGGCCATTATCGTCCCAACATGGCGTGACACGGCTGCAACACGGAAAGTAAGTAAAGTATGTCAATCCTTTTAACTAATAATAATAATAATGCATCAGTTTTATACAACGCTTTTTTGGACACTCAAAGACGCTTCACATGGCATTATTCTTTCACTCCATACATAGTGGTGACTACCTACTACTGTAGCCACAACTGCCCTGGGGCACACTGACAGAAGTGAGGCAACCAGTATGTGCCATCGACCCCTCCCACCACCACCAACCATTCACACACACACCAGACTCATTCTAGGCAATGGGGGTGAAGTGTCTTGCCTAAGGACACAACAGTAGTTTGGCACTCTACATTCAAATGTATGGATCAAAATGACTGCTTTAGGTAGAACTCACATTTCAAAAATAAGATAATTTACTTAAAAAGAAAAGAAATAACCTACATGAAGACACTGAACATGTCACAAAGTTATGAAGACCACAGAGGTGCATGAGCTGAGTTATTACGAAAAAGCCGTCAAATTGACTGCTCTGGAAAGTTCTAGGGCAAAGTTGATCTAGAGTTTTCAGTTTTTTATGAGCGAAGCATGCTATAGGATGCTTTAAAAATGTAGTATCTATCTCCTCGCCTCTGAAATGGGGAAATCTGGTTTAGTTTTAGTCTGGGTTATCTGCTCAAATCAACACTTTTGGTCTAATGTCCCTCGGCTGATGACACATTCTCATCATAAGAGATTGTAACTATGAGAAGAAGAAATACACCTGGATTTGTGAGCGTGCTAATATTACTGAGAAATATACTTTTTTTAGTGGAGCAAAATATTAAATCTGTGTGCGTGGTTAGACAAGTGTGTGTGCCTCCCTGCTCAGACTGCTGCCATCTCTATCCGGCAATGGATAAAGCGGAAGAAAATGGCTTGGATAGAGTTAGGTAATGGATAAGATTCAGAAAGAATTCATTCATGAATAAGGCAAAAAGTGGATCGATCTCCATCAAAAGCGCCTTTATTACGACTTATCTGGCAACAATTGACTTCAAAATGATTATTTGTTTGTGTAGAAGGCCCTTTACAATCTGGCGCCCTCATATCTCCTGAGTGTTCTTGCTGTCCCTTTTGTAAAAACTGAAAACAGGAGAAGCAGCTTTCTCCCATTACGCTCCTTGTAATTGGAACACGCTGACTTGTGACTTTCAATTCAAATCGATTGTTTTGGTTCAGCCCTTAATCACAGCAGCTGTCGTCTCGGAGGAGTTTAGAAAGTTTTTGATTCGCCAACAACAGATCAGAGAATCAAACAAACAGGATAACCACAGTATGCATATTCATACCTGTCCTTAAAGGAGATCAATATGTAATGATACTTTGATTATTATCATCGTAAAGTTGGACATTTTAGACTTGCTTCCTTATAATGTTAAATCTAAAGATGTTTTACTAGCTTCTTTATTATGCTACAACTAGAGATTTGATTTGATTTCATTTTAGTATAGAGTTAGCTTGGCCTTATCCATCCGTACACTCCGCTCAATCATCATTTCCCTGCATGTAACTTCTGGGTCTGGTCCCTGTGTTAGCGATTACAATCGGTTGAATTTCGACCGACCATTCAGAGAGCGCGGAAGGCGTGTGTTGTATTTAGTTGTGGCTGACGTCAAGAGTTAGCGTCGAACGGGAAGGTTGTGGTTTGGCCATGGCGAAAAATGCGATAGTAAAGTAATCCGGTCTGGTTCTATCAAGAAATTGAAGCCGGAGCAAGAGGAATGTTTAGCAAATGTAATCGGTAGAAAAAATCTTGGCGCTACTCCCCACGGGCTCCGTTAGCGGCAAAGAAGATGGCCAGGCTAAATGCTAAATGCTAACGACTCACTCGGGCGCATTACATACGTGACGGCAAACTCAGATCCAATCGTTTCAATCTGCAAAAGGTTAACCCCTCCTTTCTGTAAACGGAGCTCAAAGGAGCACCTCCAGACCTCAGTATGAAATGTAATTTGTACTATGGTGTGGTACGATCAGACTAGTAGTTTATTGTGTGTTGTATGCTCCTCATTCCTACCGTTCTGTAACTGGTGATGCAACACTGACATTTACCCACTGTGGGACAAATAAAGAATCTCTTAGGCATAATCTTAGGCTTGTCACATAAGCATGGCATGTCTCCTTTAATGTAGTAACAATAAGAAACAGAAAAAAAGTTTGAAACATCCGCTGCACTGCAAAAAAGTGATGAGATATAAGTTTTAAATTGCTCAAATTTGGCTAAACGTATATTAATTTGAGCACATTCTGGCTGCCTTATAACAAGATTTGCCAAAGGGACAAAGCAAAATTATCTTGTTTTGAAAATATACTAGAAATGTGTCCTTTAGAAAGAGAAAATAAAGCAACAGTTCTTAAAGTAAAACTAAACGGCTTTTTCCCATTGGCAAATTTTGTTTTAACACAGTCAGAATGTGCCCAAATTAAGATACAAAACATTAGATTCAAGCAATTATACCTCATTTTTTGCATTGTGGCAGAGTTGGTGCTATACTTAACCCGTGTGTGTCCGTTAATGGATTGAACGAGGGGAGCGGTGGGTCACTTTCACAACCGTCCGATCCATAGTTCATCGGAGGTCAATGCTGGGATGGGACCAACGGCAGAGAGAGACAGGATCATTCATATAGGTTTGATATCACCTCCAAGCCTTTTTTGTGTGTTTGCGTAGGTTTCCTCTGAGTGCTACGGTTTTCCACTACCTCTAAAAACATGTACAATAGGTCTGGCATGTGCCTCTTGTGCGTGGCGATCTTCAAGAGACAAATATTCCTAATAAAAGTAGAGAGTTTTGTGACTGTCTGTGAAATGTGCTATATAATTAAAGATTACTTACTGCATACTTACATACACACATTTATAATCAGCGTTTTAAAGTGGGTTAGCATGTTAATGTTGTTATGTTATTTGTGTAGGCCTAACACAAAAGCCTCATTCGCATTGAGGAAAAACAAGGACATTTTGACCAAATATACAGATATATATAGAGAGAGAAAGAGACCAGAGAGGCACACCAGAGAGACTGGAGAAGGAGAGACCAGAGAGAGACCAGAGAGAAACACCAGAGAGACTGGAGAAGGAGAGACCAGAGAGAGATCAAAGAGAGAGACCAGAGAGAGACCAGAAAGAGACCAAAGAGCGAGACCAGAAAGAGATCAAAGAGAGAGACCAGAGAGAGACCAGAGAGAGACCAGAAAGAGACCAAAGAGAGAAACCAGAGAGAGACCAGAGGGAGATCAAAGAGAGAGACCTGAGAGTGAGAGACCAGAGAAAGACCAAAGAGAGGGACCAGAGAGAGACCAAAAAGAAAGACCAGATAGACAAAGGAGAGAGACCAGAGAGAGACCAGAGAGGGACTAAAGAGAGACCAAAGAGACAGACCAGAGAGATATAAGAGAGAGACAAAAGAGAGATATATCTGAAAGTTGCACATTACACCATTAATCCATTTCCAGGACCTCCCCTTTAACAAAACTACATCTCAATTTCCACACAATCCTCTCCATCCTCCATCACAAACCAATGCCCACCTCACATTACACACTGGCATTACACACACTCATTTTTTGCATTGTGGCAGAGTTGGTGCTATACTTAACCCGTGTGTGTCCGTTAATGGATTGAACGAGGGGAGCGGTGGGTCACTTTCACAACCGTCCGATCCGATCCATAGTTCATCGGAGGTCAATGCTGGGATGGGACCAACGGCAGAGAGAGACAGGATCATTCATATAGGTTTGATATCACCTCCAAGCCTTTTTTGTGTGTTTGCGTAGGTTTCCTCTGAGTGCTACGGTTTTCCACTACCTCTAAAAACATGTACAATAGGTCTGGCATGTGCCTCTTGTGCGTGGCGATCTTCAAGAGACAAATATTCATAATAAAAGTAGAGAGTTTTGTGACTGTCTGTGAAATGTGCTATATAATTAAAGATTACTTACTGCATACTTACATACACACATTTATAATCAGCGTTTTACAGTGGGTTAGCATGTTAATGTTGTTATGTCATTTGTGTAGGCCTAACACAAAAGCCTCATTCCCATTGAGGAAAAACAAGGACATTTTGACCAAATATACAGAGATATATATAGAGAGAGAGACCAGAGAGGCACACCAGAGAGACTGGAGAAGGAGAGACCAGAGAGAGACCAGAGAGAAACACCAGAGAGACTGGAGAAGGAGAGACCAGAGAGAGATCAAAGAGAGAGACCAGAGAGAGACCAGAGAGAAACACCAGAGAGACTGGAGAAGGAGAGACCAGAGAGAGATCAAAGAGAGAGACCAGAGAGAGACCAGAAAGAGATCAAAGAGAGAGACCAGAGAGAGACCAGAGAGAGATCAAAGAGAGAGACCAGAAAGAGATCAAAGAGAGAGACCAGAGAGAGACCAGAGAGAGATCAAAGAGAGAGACCAGAGAGAGACCAGAGAGAGATCAAAGAGAGAGACCAGAGAGAGACCAAAGAGCGAGACCAGAGAGAGATCAAAGAGAGAGACCAGAGAGAGATCAAAGAGAGAGACCAGAAAGAGATCAAAGAGAGAGACCAGAGAGAGACCAGAGAGAGATCAAAGAGAGAGACCAGAGAGAGACCAGAGAGAGATCAAAGAGAGAGACCAGAGAGAGACCAAAGAGCGAGACCAGAGAGAGATCAAAGAGAGAGACCAGAGAGAGACCAGAGAGAGATCACAGAGAGAGACCAGAGAGAGACCAAAGAGAGAGACCAGAGAGAGATCAAAGAGAGAGACCAGAGAGAGACCAAAGAGCGAGACCAGAGAGAGATCAAAGAGAGAGACCAGAGAGAGACCAAAGAGCAAGACCAGAGAGAGGTCAAAGAGAGAGACCAGAGAGAGACCAGAAAGTGTCACGTGATGATTTGATGGAGGACTCAAAATGCAAGAATGCCAAAAATAATGATTTATTACAATAAAAGTCCAGGTTAAAACTCAAAATCCAGGAAACAGGAACAAAACAGAAACAGACATGGACAAGACAATGGACCAGCAACAAGAGGAGAGAAGCACAGGGTACATATAGACAAAGAGAGACACAGGTGAAACACATCAGGGCCGGGCAGACTATCAAGACAGGGGAAACAGATTACAAGATTACATTACAAGATTACAAAATAAAACCTAAGTCCAAAATAACAAAATCCACACCATGACAGAAAGAGACCAAAGAGAGAAACCAGAGAGAGACCAAAGAGAGAGACCTGAGAGTGAGAGACCAGAGAGAGAGACCAGAGAGAGCCCAAAGAGAGAAACCAGAGAGAGACCAGAAAGATACCAGAGAGAGACCAAAGAGAGAGACCAAAGAGAGAGACCAGAAAGAAAGACCAGAGAGACCAAAGACAGAGACCAAAGAGAGAGACCAGAAAGAAAGACCAGAGAGACCAGAGAGAGAGAGACAAAAGAGACAGACCAGAGAGAGATAAGAGAGAGACAAAAGAGAGATATATCTGAAAGTTGCACATTACACCATTAATCCATTTCTAGGACCTCCCCTTTAACAAAACTACATCTCAATTTCCACACAATCCTCTCCATCCTCCATCGCAAACCAATGCCCACCTCACATTACACACTGGCATGTTTTTTATAGCACACACAGCTAGCTGCAGAGCGCAAAGCCAGTTCCACAAAAAAAAAAAAAAAAAAAAGTGTTGCATAAACGCCTCCCACACCACACACTCCACTCCACTCCACTCCACTCCAGCGCTCTTTGGTCCAACATTTTTGAGCCATGAAATAATGAAATAATAATAATAATGTATTCAGCGGCTGCAGTGGTGGAGGCCCCTAGTTTCATATATCAAGGTTGATGTATCGGCAAAGCGATAAACAGGTCATTCCTAATGAAGCCTCAGTGCACGGGGGGCCTCGATCCCCATCAGACCACCCTCTCTCTGTGATTATTGTCCTCACCCCGATTTTATAACGCGTTTGACCTGCGTTTAAGCCCATGCCTCTGTCATTATGTACATGTGATAAGGTGTTGGAGCGGGTGTAAAGCTGTCAGTAGGGGCGGGTGGGTGGCTTGCGTGGGTGGGTGGGGGTATGGGTTTGACAGCCGTGATGGGGTCGGATTGTAACGCGGCCAGACGTAAGACCTTTTGTGTCAGCTGATGTTCCACTTCCTGGGTTGTCAAGCGCGGCCAATAACGTGGAGCCGGGGTAATGGACGGATACGGTGACAGCAAAGGTTAGAGGTGGGGAGGGGAAAAGGTGTAATATTGGCGTTACGGTGGGAGAGTGTGGTCGGTGATTGAGTGATTCTCCATGAATGAGAGATTGTTGATATGTTTGCCTGTTAGCCTGTTAGCCTGCTAGCTTGTCCATGGGCTCTTTGCATTTTACGCTATTGTTATTATCATTATTATTTTGTCAGATTTGATAAAGCATAGTCATCGAGTGCATGGACATCAGAGAGACATCAGAGTTGACAGGTACCAGTAGACCAGGCATGTCTGAAGTCCAAGATTTGCGTAATTTCCTTTTTTTGTGGCGTTTGCTTGTTCTCCCCGTGTCTGGTGTCTTGCAGATGCAGGAAAGTCTAAGGACAATGATGATCCGAGACATTAATGGACATTTTTTTATATTTATGGACATTTTTTTATATTTATGGAAAAAAATTAATATTTATGGAAACATTTTATATTTATGCACATTTTTTAATGATTATAGACAATTATTAACATTTATGGACATGTATGTGTGGGTGTTTGAGAGTATGCTGTTTTAATGTGTTTTTGTTTAACCCTAACCCTATTTATCCTTCTGTGATTTTTATTTTTTCCCGTTTAGTTGTTGTTGTTTGTTTGTGTGTATGTTTGTTATAGTATATTGTGTAAACTGTAAAACTGGTTTTGCTTAACAAAATATAAAAATAGACAATGGTCATCCCGCTCCCTATATAGCTTCTATGTGTTTGATTCTCTGATCTGTTGTTGGTGAATCGACTCAGAGACGACTGCTGTTAAAAAATTACGTTGAATTGAAACTTCTTTCTTCGGCTAAAGTCAGAGTTATTGTTCATTTGTCTGGTGTTGTGTGCTCCTCACTCCTTCTGTTCTTTAACTGGTGATGCAACACTGACATTTCACTGACATCTCTTCATCTTAATATAAGTAAGTCCCGGATTTGAGTCGTCCCGTGGCTGAGACCGATTGAATAGCACTCTCGCTCCTCGGCAAGAAGGTTCTAGGTTCGAATCCCGGTCGGGACAGGGCCATTCTGAGTGAAGTTTGCCTGTTCTCCCTGTGTCTGCGTATAGGTTTCCTCTGTGTGCTCCGGTTTCCCCTACCACTAAAAACATACACAATAGGTTCTGAATATAATGAGTGAGTGAATGGACGGTGTTGATCGGGGGCTTTGATGCTCCGGTGTGTTCGACGTCCCGCTTCCGTCGTCCGTCACCGTGTGTGGAGAGCATGAAACAATATTCAATTCAAATAACTTTATTAATCCGTGACGAACTTCATTTACAGACGGAGCAAAAAACACAGAAACACAAGATCTAAACATAAATACAGTAAAAGAGCAGAAATGCGATATAAAATACATAGAAACAGGTCTCCAGATGTTTAAAAGGCAAATTGAGGTTGGGAGGACGCTGGATGTGGCCCCTTTTTGGTTTAATCTGAACTCTGAACATTGTGAAGCGCTTTGGGTGACCTTGGTCTGTAAAAATACGCTATGTCAATTTGTATATTTTTTTATTATTTTTTATCTCCATTAGATGTTCAACACAGCTATTCTTCCTGGAGTCAAGCAAAGTGCATTCAGTGCGCTGTCAGACTGTACAATAAGTCACTTTAAGTCACTTGCATTAGGACTGAAAACCCTGCACTACAACTGACACTGTCTCTTTGATTGCCACTTTTTATTTTACATAATATATCCTGCATTTAACATGTCTTTCTTTTGCACAATCTTGAGTGTTTCTCCTGTGTGAGATCAATAAAGTCTATCTCATCTTTTCTTATTAAGTAATCTTTATTTATATACCGCCTTTCACAGACCAGACTCACAAAGCGGTTTACAATTGTTATTTTTTGGGAATTTGTCCTCTCACTCCACACAGAGATGGGAGCGGGGTCGCCGTAACAGGAGGCGCATGCCAGACCTATTGTACATGTTTTTAGTCGGCGGGGAAACAGATTCAGATTCAAACCGGAGCACCCGGAGGAAACCAACGCAGACACGGGGAGAACGGGCAAACAGCCACCGTGCCGCTCATTGTCATGTATTATACAGATGACGACAAAAGGTAAATATTGTTATTGACAGATATCACTTACCGACTTCACTTTGCACTATTGACTCCATCTCCATCTCCTCACCAGCGACAGGGCCTCCGTGCCGTACCGCGTCGCCGCTCCTCTGTCCGGTATTTAGCTGGATCTGAAAAGCGGGATGCGAGTCTGAGATCTGTGTTTTCCGCGGTATCAAAGCGGTGCTGTATTGTTTGAACGTGAGAGCGTGCGAAGGCGTTGACATCGTTTGCCTTCCTTTCATTGGGATGATAAAAGGTGAGCTCTCGGCTGCTTCACCTCCGCTGTTCCTGAGATGTTGCTCTGTGCTTTTTAAGGCGAGACTCGGTGAATGTCGTGCGAGCAGAGAAGCGTTTTGGTGAAGGGAGAGGCAGGAATAGGTTTGAAAGACCCGACGCTATTCAAAAATCTGCTTTCTGTTATTTTATGCATGCTTTTAGTTCTCTTACAATGTCGTTCCATCATCAATAACACACAGTTCTGTCACAATTCATAAAAAAGTTGAATTAGACAAAATAATATGCATTGTTTTTGGCCATTTACTACTACTAGTATCACTATTGCTACTACTAATACTATTACTACTACTGCAATTACTAATGCTACTGTTAATATTGCTACTACTACTGCAACTACTATTACTACTATTAGTTTTAGTTCTTTTCTATTTGAGCAATCTTAGTATGAACATGTTACATACATATAAACAGAATAATGATTTAAAGGATAAGCACATACATCAATCAGTGCTGAGTGCTTGAAAGTGCTCAAAAAGGAGAAGGATGAAGTGGGGACTTATAAACTCCTCCCCCTTTCTCCATTCAGTGTATTGTGTGACAGCTGTTGGTGCTTCTATATGTTGTGTGTAGCATTGAAATATATAATGACAAGTTCTATAAATGAGGGTTTACAGATACAAGTATACAACAAAAGTTGATATCCTAATTTTTAGTGATGGTGAAATTGCAAGTATTTATATGTATTTCTTTCAGGGTTAGCTTTATGATTGTAATGATCACCAGTGGCTAAATCATATTTTGGTACAGGAAGATCTTGGTGTAGTTTAATCCTTGGTATTTAATCAAATTGAGCTTGCAGTTGTACCCTTGATCAGCATATTGTTTGTAAATTAATTGCTTGACTATTCCTTAAATTATAGTTACCTTCTCTGTTAGTGAACATGCACTGTATGTACTATTACCCCAACTACAACGATCATTAATACTACTACCTCTATGACTGCTGCTACTACTACTACTACTACAACTACTGTTACTATTAGTACCATTACTGCAATTACTAATTATACTGTTAATATTGCTACTACTACTACTACTTCTACTATTTGCTGCTGTGACCTGAAGGGCTGTCTCTTATTTTTATTGTTAGCTTTTTAGAATTTCTCCTACGGGGAATCAAAGACTTATCTAACCATCTATCTATCTATATATTACTATTGCTACTACTACTACTGCTTCTTCTTCTACTACAACTACGTCTACAACTTTTTATCATACTTTTCTTATTTATGTTTATTTTGTTAAAAACTTTGAGTAGCCTTGTGCATGAACTGTGCTATACAATTAAACTGTTTTGGGACAATAATCACAACAAACCCACTGAAGCGACTCATGGACACACTGTTCACTTGTTTGGTGCTTTTACATCCTAAAAGAAAGCTTTTTGGCCCCAAATGAGCTAGAATTGGTCCCCACAAAGTCACACCTCACGCTACATTCTGACACTACACTGCAAAAAATGATAAAATATGAGGTAATAATTGCTTGAATCGAGTTGTTTTTATCTTAATTTGAGCACATTCTGTCTGTGTTATAGCAATATTTGCCAATGGGACAAAGCCTTTTAGTCTTAATTCAAAAATGATTGCTTCATTTTCTCATTCCAAGAGAGATGATTCTTGTATCTTTTTTAAACAAGATCATTTTGTTTTGTCCCATTGGCAAATCCTGTTTTAAGGCAGTCAGAATGTGCTCAAATTTAGATACCTCTTTCCAAAATTTGAGCATTTTTTGACCCATTAGATTCAGATTCGGATTCATTTCATTTGCCATTTGCCATTTGCAGTAAAACCACATCGGAATACATTGACTATGATTTCCTTTTTGCCGTGTACATTCTTACAGGAGGCTTTGATCCACACGTTCCACTGTCAGTGAAACATCTCCTGTGGTTGACACTTATCCGTGGAAGCCGATATTACATTTCACTGCGTTCCGGTTTCTGCACAAACTTCGCCCACACCTGAGTCCACTTTAAAACAGCCTGCGCCTCCGTTTGACTCGTCCATGTGTGTGTGAGTGATGGAAATGAACCAAAACTGAGAGAAACTGTAGCTTTCACGATGACAAATGTAATGTCTTCATCATTTGACCTCCTTAAAGCGGTTGAATCGTTTTTACAGTTTTCCATATGGGGTTCACTGTAAGCTGGTGCTATGGCAGATTTTGGTGTGGGTGAAGTGTTGCTATAGACGAGCTAAAAGACGATTATAAACAATGCAACAGAACCAGCATGAGCAATATTGTCATTACTATGAGACGCAAAACACAAAGCAGTGAAAAAATAACTTCCATGTTGCAGCATTATGATTATTAGGTCCTGCACGGGAACATTTGGCAGCAGATTTTGACTGGCTTAAAACAGGATTTGCCGATGGGACAACGCAAAATGATCTTGTTTCATGAAGATATAAGAAATGTCTCCCTTGGAATGAGAAAATTAAGAAGTAGTTTTTCAAGTTAGACTGAATGGCTTTGTCCCATTGGCAAATCTTGTTTTAACACAGGCAGAATGTGCCCAAAATTAAGATAAAAAAAAACAAGAGAACACTTGATTAAAGCAATTATTACTTCATATTTTTTTGCAGTGTGTGTCTTTGCTATTCAACCTTCAACCTTGGACTGTCTGGAACATTATTGAAATTTATGTATGGAGTGTTTTGTGTCTTTGTGGGTGCGATTTTATGTCCGCCGGAGCTTTGGGTGGAATTTACGAACGTTCCTCCGTGCGCTCCGGTTTCTCCCATGCAGCATTGAGGAGAACTACGGTACATATAATCCCTTCTGTTCTACGGTGCCAGAGTTTAACATTATTCGGTTTCACAGTTTTTGGTATTTTCAAATTGGACAGAAGCATCAAGGAAAATGAAAATGTATGAAAAACAAAATGTGCATGAAAATGGCAAATAAATGAATCTGAATCTGTCGTCATCTCAAACAGAATCAAACCGTTCAAACTAAACCAAAATAAGCCCAGTGGATTAATCATCAGTGACATAGAATACGTCATGTGATTTCACTGAGGTATTTGTAAAAAAGAAAGTGTATTGTTGTCTATCTATCTATACTCCATATTTTCCTATAAGTAGATATTTTGAGTACAGCTCTACCCGTTCAGGCTGCAATCTTTCCTCTGTCTCTGCTCTGGTTCTAAATACTAGCTCTAATTAAATGTACTTTTCTGTTTAAGACCCAATTTTCTCCGCGTTTGAAGTGGATTGAATTAGCTCAGAAATGACCCGCTTGGCCTGGTCCGTGCTCCCTCGCCTCTCGCGGACAAAAACGCTGGAAAATCTGGGTTTTATGTGCTGCCATTTTGATCCGGCGCTCAAAAGAACAGACTCATTGTTATTCGCCCACAAAAAAGCCACACACACAAACACACACACACACAGAAACACACACAGTTTTTGATCTCATCTCTTCACTTTTGTTTTGTTTGCCAATTAGAAGATAATCTGCCAGAGGAGCGGCCGGTCACAAAGTCTCTCCAGCTGTGAAAAATCCATTATCAATTCATGTCTGAAATCAAATGTGCGGTGTCTATTGGGGCTAAGTCATTCAGAGCGGGCCGCTGATGGGGGGGGGGGGGGGGGTTAGATGAGGATATTTGGTGCTTTTTGTGTGTGTTTTAGTAAAATATTTGAAATGATTCGATTGCGCTTTTGTGCGGGAGAGAGAGAGTCCTAGTGACGAGCAAACATTAAAACTGTAGATAAAGTAAGAGGCTGCTTTTTTAAATGTGTGGGTTGCGTCCGTGTTTAAAAATTTAGATCTTTTTTTCGTCGCAAAGTGGGGTCATTTCAGTGCTGCATCACATGTTACAGAACAATAGATAGATAGATACTTTATTGATCCCCCGTAGAAGAAATTTAGGTGTCCAGTAAGTGCAACAACAAAAAAAGATCATTCTAAAAAGCTAACAATAGTAATAATCAGCAACAGCCTCAGGTCACAGCAGCAGAGGTGGAGTAGCCTCTGGGTGGAGCAGGACGGGTCACAGCAGCAGAGGCGGAGTAGCCTCTGGGTGGAGCAGGACGGGTCACAGCAGCAGAGGTGGAGTAGCCTCTGGGTGGAGCAGGAAAGGTCACAGCAGCAGAGGTGGAGTAGCCTCTGGGTGGAGCAGGACGGGTCACAGCAGCAGAGGTGGAGTAGCCTCTGGGTGGAGCAGGACAGGGCACAGCAGCAGAGGTGGAGTAGCCTCTGGGTGGAGCAGGACGGGTCACAGCAGCAGAGGTGGAGTAGCCTCTGGGTGGAGCAGGACAGGTCACAGCAGCAGAGGTGGAGTAGCCTCTGGGTGGAGCAGGACGGGTCACAGCAGCAGAGGTGGAGTAGCCTCTGGGTGGAGTAGCCGCTTGGTTCGGACCATTTTCTCTGCTCTAGTCCAAAGAAAAATGTAAAATGCTTCGTTAGCATTTTTCAAAAAGTTAGCATTCCTCCAGTGGATTTTCGCCTGATCCACTTGGTTCGGACCATGAATCCTCTCTGCTCTGGTCTGGACCAGTGTAAAACCATGAACACTGTACTGCAGCAACATCTCAGGCAGAAAAAAATCAAGACAAATAAAAAGTGTAAAGCACAAAACATGAACTGTTTCAGCCGTTTTCCAGCGCATTCAGAAGTAAACGCAATAGGAATGAGGAGCATGATTGTTAGTGTAAGCAACAGGTATTTGACGGCACGTTCTAGTTGCCTCGTTTCTGTCAGTATGCCCCAGGGCAGCTGTAGCTACCGCAGTAGTTTATCTCCACTGTGTTGGGAGTGAATGGATAATGGCATTTTAAAGTGTTTTTTAGTGTCCAAAGAAGAGCTATATACAACTGATACCTTAGTGTTAGTATCATCATTATTATTAATCTACAATTACAACATCTGGACTTGAGTTTCGTCAGTTTTGACCTGGAATGTTTCTGTTATTGATCCAGCAGTACAGTATATCATTTCTTATCCGCTACTGTAGTGTGACATGGCAGGAGGTTTGAGATCCCCTTTCATTCCTGTTGAAATGTCTTGCATGATCACTTTTGTCTCATTTAAATGCAGTTTTCAGCGCACAGACTCTATGAACGTTCAGGGCGAGAAAGAAGCCGGTGGAACGGTGAAAGTAAAAAGGTCAAATTGGAGATGTATGACTCCGGTTCCGTCAAGTGGTCCCTGGGGAGGCATCGCTTTTCTGTCATCCAAAACGCACTAAACCCATCTGTGGTGAAGACGGAGAGGCCAAATCCGGACACGTTTACTATGGACTGATACACGAGGATTATTTAACATTTATCGTAATATATTTGTGCGGAAGAGTGCAGCTTATGAGACCAAATGGTAACTTATTGTAGAGAGAGGAAACCGGTTATGTTTAAATAACAAACATGGATTAATATCATTACTCTTTTGATCAATACAGTTCACACTATTTATATAAAACGCGTAAAAGTTAAGAGTTCAATAACAATCATACTGCCGGATTTAAAGCTGGGGATCTTAACTTTTCCTAACCACTCAAACAAAGAACTGTTTGGCCTCTGTCACTTATTGAGACCGTGGAAAAGAGAGGACCACACTTGCTCCACACCAATCAGCTCTAAGGGGGACGTGCTTGTGCTGATTTGTGCCATAAGTCCCTGATATTAGCCTGAATGGAGCTAAACACATGTCCAGGTGAAGCGACAATATTGTATCGTGGTTGAAAGCTCACTAATGCATACGTCAGTGAGTAAATAATTTATATTTTTGTGGCCGTTTTCAATTACTGTGGGCATTTGTCTTCTCACTCCAAGCCGAGATGGGAGCGGGGATGCCTACAGGAGCTGCATGCCAGTTTTTAGTGGTAAGTGAAACCGGAGCACCTGGAGGAAACCTACACAGACATGCAAACTCCACTCGGAAAGACCTTGTTCCGACTAGGATTCTAACCCATGCTGAGAAGCGAGAGTGCTAACTTCTGTGCCACTGTGCTGCCTGGATAACATATGATAATAATAATGGTAATATTAATATTTATTGTATTTCCCAAAGGCTCAGCTCCAGCTAAAGTCCTCTGCTGCTGCTGCTGCTGCTGCTGCTGCTGCTACTACTGCTGCTGCTGCTGCTGCTACTACTGCTACTACCACATCACATCAATAGAAGCTGACTTTAGCTCTGAACCGTGGGCCAAACCGGCTGGCAACTTTAATAAAGACGAAATATCGGCTCTCCTGGTGGTCCTATACATCACCTCCAGAGATCCCCTGCTTTTCCTTTCTCTCAGACGCTTTCGAAACCCAAACAAGACCACTGCCTTCGCCATCGCCGCCGACACTGGGGGCGCGCCGTAATGAAGATGTATGACCGAGATTAGCGGCAGCCGCGGCACGCCACACCTGGCTAAGCGTCCGGGGGCGGGAGGCGGTCTTTGTCCCAGTTAGATAGGGTAGGGGTGGGGGGGTTGGGTGAGGAAGGGGGTAGGGGGGTTTTGTGGAGGTGGGTTGTACAGAGGCCTCAAGGGTCCAATTCATCTGGAGCAGAGCGCGTCAGTTCTCGCAGCAGAGATATGAAGTTGTGCGAGGTATGACAGAGCGCAGCGGGAGGGGAGAGGGAATAAAAAAGTCAATTTTCTATGATGAAGTTGTGTGTGTGTGTTTGTGTGTATGTGTAAGCGTGTGTGTAGTATGTTAGATTGTGTGTGGGGTGTGTTGTAGCTTTTTTAACCGTAGTTTTTAAGTTAAAAAGTTGGTGATAAGATGCAGTAGTATGTTAGTGGGTGTGTGTGTGTTTGTGTGTGTGTACGCATGTGTGTTTGTTTGTGTGAAAAGCGTGTGTGCGTGTAAGTGGATGTTAAAATTTGGTGATAAGATGCAGTTTGTGTGTGTGTGTGTGTGTGTGTGTGTGTGTGCGTGTGTGCGCGTGTGCGCGTGTGCGTGTCCTGGAGGTGATTTGTTGGTGTTTCATCTACACATTAAAAGAAACTCTTTTCATCTCATGTTCATAAAGATTTGATGTGATGGAGGAATTGGTCATAAAAAGCAACCCAAGAAAGAATTGCGATCTCTATAAACAAGTTTAAATGTCTATAGGAGAATTATTCAACATTTTAGGAAAGAACCGCATCTCCACTTTTTGAAAAAACTCTGGTCTCGTTTAATGTATAAGACCAGTATGATTGACCATTAGGACCAATATTCTTCGATGAACTACTTCCAATGTTCCCGGAAGTAGAAAATCCTCCTATAACTTTAAAGGAGACATAATATGCTGAATTGCTAACAGAATACATCCCCAATGTGGTTTTACTGCAAAATGAATCTATCTGACTCTGAATGTCAAGTTTATTTGTATAACACAGTTCATCCACAAGGCAACTCGGAGTGGTTTACAAACACACACACACACACACACACACACACACGCTTAGTATTTGTTCTTTTTGAGGACACACACTGCTAAACTAAGCTTGTTACGAGATATTCTTTCAGAAACTTACCCTGCACCTGGAGTTCTCTTTTTCGCTTGAATCAGGAACTTTCAGAACACCCTCGTCCATCTCAGAACGCTCCGTGCTGAATCTCTCCGATCTGTGATGTCATAGAAAGAGCTGTGGAGGTATTAGCTGCATTATTTAACCAATTCATCAACTCAAGTATAGTTTTTTTTGGAGTATTACTGCACTGCAAGCGTTTGTAATCACTGGAGCTCGGGAGAGATCGCTGAGATCATCGCACTGTTAAAAGCACTGATGACTTTTCTACACAACAATATTATATTTAAAGCTAGAATGACATCAGAAAGAGTGAACAAATCAGAGAAAACATGTATCTACTGCATACTTGTAAGAAGCCTTAGTGTTAGCAGTGTCAATGCAAAAGAATATGATTAGCACATAAGCTAGCTGGTGCCAATTTCCATATATGGGCATTTGTTCCGACATTGTTCTTGACATGGTTGCTAAGGCAAGCTGGAGTTTCCCAAGTGAATGAAGGCATCTGATTGGTCAATTCTTATGGCTCATCCAAAGACATATCAACATATAAACACCAGAACCACAGAGAGCACTAAACCACAGATGTTTTAAGCCCAAAATGGTGAGTGTGTAACTAAAACGGTCACTGAGTTAGAGAAGTTTACTTTCCAATGCAAGAAAATAAGCAGTAATATCATTTACGGTTAAACAAGTTTTGAGGAAAGTGTCCCGGATCTCCACAGACAGCTCTCACTCTCTCCACTCACACCATAGTCTAGTCTGCTTCCTTCAGACCACACACACAGGTCCCTCCCATTCCAAACGGTAAGGGCAACATCCAGCTGCCTCCCCTCCTCAAACTGCCCTTTAAACAGATTGGGAGATTACGACTATGAAGCAGATTATGGACTGTTTTTATTTTCTATTTTCCATTTTGTGTTTCTGTGTTTTTTGTACCCCCACCGATCCTCATGGATAAATAACGTTATGTTAATTAGGCCCGAGCCCCGAACGGGGAAAGGGCCGATTGTTTTTGCTCGAGAGATGTCAAATTCTGCACTTTGAGCCTTAATTTCACCCCCTGAACATGCATGAAAAGTTGTACAATTTTGCCCAAACATCAGACCTGGTGGAAAAATTTGATATTTTGGTGTTTATTTTTATGGGACTCAAAAAATGCCAGAACAGCGCCACCTACAACAGCCAATGGGAGATTCAGAAGTCAAGTTTGTCGTAGAGCCATGAAATTCGGTACACATGTTCCTCAAGTCAAGATACGACCAAAATGTTATCATGGCTCCGCCCTCTGACAAACAGGAGGCCCATAAATTTCACTGCAAAATGGAAAAATGATCCGCGGGGATTTTTGATCAGTGAAACGTTGTTTGAGCAGCGGAGCGGCAAAATGTGAGTGTTTTTTGACTGTTTTTCACAACATTAATTTTGCTCCCGTTTGCACAAACAAAGTCTGATTTGCACAAAACTTGAATCCAATGTTCAACTCCAGGGTTTAGGTCAGGTGAAAGTGAAATATTGGAAATTGGCCCAATAGCGCCCCCTACAGATTGAGGAAAAGTTTTACATGGGGTGCCAAACTGCTCTAATCATCATATTCATTACAATTTGACTAACGTTATTCTATGGCAACAGCAACAAATCATCACACGGCGGCCCCACCTCCTTTGCACGGTGCTGCGTGGTACGGTGTGGTGCGGCTTGGTGCGGGGCGGTGTGGTGCAGATCTGCTTGGTGCGGGGCGGCGTGGTGCGGGTTAGCGTGGTGCGGGGCAGCGTGGTGCGGGGCAGCGTGGTGCGGGGCAGCGTGGTGCGGGGCAGCGCGGTGCGGGGCAGCGCGGTGCGGGGCAGCGCGGTGCGGGGCAGCGCGGTGCGGGGCAGCGCGGTGCGGGGCAGCGCGGTGCGGGGCAGCGCGGTGCGGGGCAGCACGGTGCGGGGCAGCACGGTGCGGGGCAGCGTGGTGCGGGGTGGCTTGATGTATGGCGGCTTGGTGCGGGGCGGCTTGATGCGGGGCGGCTTGATGCGGGGTGGCTTAATTCGGGACGGCTTGGTGAGGGGCGGCTTGGTGCGGGGCGGCTTGGTGCGGGGTGGCTTAATTCGGGACGGCTTGGTGCGGGGCGGCTTGGTGCGGGGCGGCTTGGTGCGGGGCGGCTTGGTGCGGGGCGGCTTGGTGCGGGGCGGCTTAATTCGGGACGGCTTGGTGAGGGGCGGCTTGGTGCGGGGTGGTGCGCGCGGTGCGGCGAGGGCCGTTTGACGCCGCTTGCGGCTTTAATTTGAATTGAAATTGACCAGAGTCAGAGCAAGTTGGAGCAAAACTTCCCATTTTGGCTTCTTAGCCGATTAGCATTGTCCATATGCAGAATTTAAGAAAGAACCCTGTGAGCCATTATTTAACCTTTTAAAAGTGCTAATTTCTATTTACTTTTTGGTCTGAAAAATCGGATCTAAAGACGTCACACAGACCACAAAAAACATGCATTAAAACTAGTGCTAGATTAGCTTTTATATACATATTTTGAGGTTGGAAAGTTTTCTATTGTATTGCTGCTGCTTTTGTGTTATTTAAAAAGTCTTTCCTCCTGTGGTGACGTAGGGCCGTGGCAATATTCCATCTTTATTAAAAGTCGCCAGTCAGTTTGGCTCCTCGCAGCAGCAGTGCAGTGGGCTGGTGCTGCATCTGAGGCGGATGTATGAGAAATAATTAATTTTAAAAGACAACAAAAAACACAAAGGTTTCCCACAAATTAGCATGGAAATGGAAAAATGTGGTGGAAGAAAGATTATACTGTATTTCTGGTATATGTTTGTGTAGTCTGCGGCGTTGATGTTGTATAGATAGTGTGTGTGTGTGTGTGTGTGTGTGTGAAAATCAAGACCAAAGCATTAAACCAAAGCAGTACAAATTATCTTTACCAATTAGCAAATGATTACAAAGTCATATATATTGATCATTTCCAACTTGCATCTAGAAAAAACAGCCCTTTAAAACAGTAATCTTAACTCCCTAGATAATTTCAGACTGATTCATTTCTTTATCAGCTGTTAAATCACTGACACGGTTTTAAAATAGTTGTCAAAGCTTGGGGGTTTATATTGTATATGTTGTTTAGGGCGACAGTTGGTAGAGTAAGCTGAAGGCTGTGGGTTCAAGTCCACTGCGAGACCTTCTCTATTGACTCCCACTGTACTAGTACTGTATTAGTACGCTGCATTCCGTTTAAATCAATAAAGTATATCTTCTTCTTCCTCTATGTGTTGTATATGTAGTTTATGTTGTATATGTTGTGTATGTATGTGTGTGTGCCTCTCTTCTCTCTTTCTCGCTGCTCTAAAGCCGGTGGATTAGTCTCATGTCAGGATCAGATAAGGATTACATCGTCCCGGACCTAAAGTGGCATTCCGGAGCATTATGACACCCGTCCCGCTGAACGTACAGCTGTGACCGGGATCAGAGGGTCCCAGACTTCTGAGTATTAGTGTGTAGTGTATCTAGTGTCACTAAACATATTATATAGATAAAGTTTAGATTCAAATATTGAATTATAATGAACCACTGGGTGAAATTAATGCCAGTGAGAAGAAACAAAAATGTTTTAGTTTTTCACCAGATTTTTAAAAGTAAGTCATTTTAAAGTTTTACATTTTTTACTTTTCCGCACTTCTAATAAGTGTTATAACTCTAGTGAATGTAACGTAATAGGTACAGGACCTGCACCTTAAAAAGAGCTTTAACACTATTTTTTGATAGAGCCGTTATTTTGACTGCTCCCATTCAAATCAATAGAATTCTGAAAAGAAAGTGAGTTTACCATCAGTTTTATTCAAATGTACCTTTCCTCTCTTTTAATAAGTGCTAAAACCGGTGAATATAACTTGTTGAAATGCTAATGCTAACTGGTAGCAAGTTAACAGTATGTCGCTATGGTTACTGGCGCCTGCTCTTCTCTACAGATAGAAAGGACATAGAAATAAACAACTTAAAATAACAGAAAAAGTTATGACAAACAAAAAATTACATGAGCTGAGTACCTTCACTTCCCAAACTAAAAGCCGTCAATCTGACTGCTCGGGGAGTTCCTGGTGTTAACTACAGTGCCCTGCAGATAGGACACAAGCACAACTAAACCGTGCACAAGATGTAAAAATGTGACTTTTAAAGCAGTCATAGTTCACATCATTGCTCTGTCTGCTCTGCTGTTGTCTTGCACGGCGCTGTGGCTCTGGAGCTGTGATTTACCGGGATTATTTTTAGCCGCTGTTGGGGTGGGGTCTATCTTTATCCAAACGCGACCAGGGAGCAGATCGATAGCGGCTCATCCGGGGCCGTGATGTGGCCGCGGACACCCAAGCTGACGGCGGTGAGTCAGGAGCGCGGCGAGACGAGCAGAGATGTCACAATATCACGTTATAGAGATATTGTGAGAAATGTCCGGATTTGAAAATGACTCACTTTTACTGGAGCTGAGAGGAGATCACAGGGGAATCCATAGTTAGGGTTTGATTCCCAGTTTTTGGAATTGCCTTGAGACTGTGTACTTTGTGTGATATTAAAGCTGGGAGACCTAACTTTCAATCACTAAAATGTAATGTAATACAATCCCATCTGTCTAGTTCCTCTCTCGCAAAACATTTTGGTTCTGTCATTATTGTAAATGTATTATATTGCCTCTTTTGTCACATCTTCAGATAAGTTTTGTTTTTTTGACAGAAAAGTGAAAAAAGAGAATTCTGAAACTAAAAGAACTCCCAGACCTCCCATTCAAATCAATGGAATTCTGGAAAAGGGTTTGGAGAGATCCGGTCATTTATCAAACTAAAGGATTCTCTCCTTGGCCCCAGTGAATGACTGAGAGTTGAGGAGAACCGTCAAAGACGACATATTGTCTATTGAAGGCTTCCGTAGTTCCCTGGACTGCCATCACTGACTTGGAACCAAATTAAATTGCTCTGCTGTCTGGAAAAAAGGTCATTACAGAATAAAACAAATGATCAATTAGTCAAGTATTAGGGGCCAGAGAGAGAAAGAGACCAGAGAGAGACCAGAGAGAAAGACCAGAGGGAAAGACAAGAAAAGATAAGATAAGATAGACTTTATTGATCTCGCACAGGAGAAATTTACAGAGAAAGAGAGACCAGAGAGAGACTAGAGAGAGACCAGAGAGAGACCGGAGAGAAAGACCAGAGAGGGAGAGACTAGAGAGAGACCAGAGAGAAAGACCAGAGGGAAAGACAAGAAAAGATAAGTTAAGATAGACTTTATTGATCTCGCACAGGAGAAATTTACAGAGAAAGAGGGACCAGAGAGAGACTAGAGAGAGACCAGAGAGAGACCGGAGAGAAATACCAGAGAGGGAGAGACTAGAGAGAGACCAGACAAAAAGAGAGACCATAGAGACCAGAGAGAAAGACCAGAGAGAGAGAGAGACCAGAGAGCAAGACCGGAGAGAGAGAGACCAGAGAGAACTCACCAAACTTAAATCCAACACATTTGCCACATTCAGCCGATGCTGCTTACAGACCCGTCCTAAATACAAACGAGTATCTTGAATGTTTCTCAGACGACAAAGCCAGAACCCTCGATGCAGCTCCCGTTGCTCCCGTTGCCAAGAGGAGCCTCGCGTTGGACCAATTCATTATTCCGCTTTCTCTCCGGCTTTTGTTTCAGCGCTGCTCTGCTTTTCTATTGAATCTCCGTGTTAAAGTGGCGCCAATAGCCACTGGAGTTTGCCTGAGATTGCATTCTGATTACAGAGAATTGATCCTGGTACAATGGAAGTGTAATTACAGGCTGCTCCATCGCTTCCACTTCACAAACCGTGTATGTTCTCAAGCCGCAAACACTGCTGCCTCCCAGTCTTCAGTCCTGACTCTGGGCGCCAGCAGGAGGCCAGTCCCTGTGCTCCTCAGAGTCCCAGCAGAAGGCCAGTCCCTGTGCTCCTCAGAATCCCAGTAGGAGCCCAGTTTTTGTGTGTCTCTTTGGACTCACAAATACTGTCCCAGTAGGTGCCAGTCCCTGTGCTCCTCAAGAGTCCCAGCAAGAGGCCAGTCCCTGTGGTCTTCAAGAGGCCCAGCAGGAGGCCAGTCCCTGTGCTCAGTCCCTGTGCTCCTCAGAGTCCCAGCAAGAGGCCAGTTTTTGTGCTCCTCAGTCCCAACAGGAGGCCAATCCCTGTGCTCCTCAGAGTCCCAGTAGGAGGCCAGTTTTTGTGTGCTCCTCAAGAGTCCCAGCAAAAGACCAGTCCCTGCGGTCTTCAAGAGTCCCAGTAGGAGGCCAGTCCCTGTGCTCTTCAGAGTTCCAGCAAAAGGTCTGCCCCTGTGCTCGTCAAAGTCCCAGCAGGAGGCCAGTCCCTGTGCTCCTCAGAATCCGATTTTGATGCAGAACTTATACAATAAATCTTGATCAAAAATACTATGTGAATCCAAATACTAAACTATTGCATAGAAAATACCACAGGTCACGATCACACTCAGTCAGAAGCTTTGGTCCTCGGCCGGTTTTCTCCTTCAGACATTTCCCTCTGTTTATATTCTCAATCCGCAAACACATCCCAGAAACCACAGCAAAAGATAATTCACTACAAATCCAATCCCTTCATTATAGTCAATTCAATGTTTTTTTAACGTGTGTTTTTTTTCCTTCTTCTTCTCGTCTTTTCTTGTAATAGCAAAAGGGTGGAAAATGGCAATCTGGTGTTTGATTAATGCGTGGTGTCTTCGGCGCAGTTCATTTGCGATCTATTACCGCGTATTTGCTTTGTGTCACCAGACGGAGCCAGGACACTGCATCATCTCGGGGAAGTTTGGGGAAAAGGCGGGATCGGGAAACAACCGCAATAAGGAATTAAATAGAAGTAGCGTCGCGTGATTTTAGTGTTTAGAAATAATGGTGTCGTATGATTTTGTTTTTTTTACAGAGAGAGTGTGTGATAGAAATTAGGTTGAAGCAGCAGTGCTAATTTACAGCTGTATAGTCCCAGACCAGATTGGTGTGAAATAGTAAAACAAATGTAGACATGACCACACATTATCAGACAGAAATGACTATTTAAAATCTTGGCGCGTGTGTTTGTGTGTGTGTGTGTGTCTGTGTGTGTGTGTGTGTGTGTGTGTGTGTGTGTGTGTGTGTGTGTGTGTGTGTGTGTGTGTGTGTGTGTGTGTGTGTGTGTGTGTGTGTGTGTGTGTGTGTGTGTGTGTGTGTGTGTGTGTGTGCGTGCGTGCGGTGTGTGTGTGTGTGTGTGTGTGTCTGTGTGTGTGTGTGTGTGTGTGTGCAGGTTAGATCACTGGCCGGCAGGTAAGGAGAAAGATAGATAGATAGATAGACACAAACCTGAACCTTAAACAGGAATCAGACGTGGGGAAGGACAATGGACTGACAAACAAGAAGAGAGGGTCCCAGGGGATAAACACACAAACGGAGACAAAAGTGAAACACATGAGAGGGGGAAAGGTAAGAAAGTCAACAGGAAGTGGGACTACAGAAAAAAAAACCCAAAAGATCCACGTCATGATATAGAGCGATTCTAACAATGAAATTCACTAAAGAGATTCCCAGTTGATCAATTTGTCAAGTATTGGGGACCAATAAGAAAAAGAGTAGAGAGAGAGACCAGAGAGACACTAGATACCAGAGAACATGGCCACAAAGAGAGGCAATAGAGAGAGAGACCAGAAAGCGAGATAGACCGTATACGCCACAGAGAGAGACAAGAGAGAAAGAGAGAGAGACCAGAGAAAGCGACCAGAGAGAGACTAGAGATACTGGAGAGATAGGCCACAGAGAAAAACTAGAGAGAAAGAGACCGGAGAGAGAGAGACCAGAGAGATAGACAAGAGAGAAAGAGACCAGAAAGAGAGAAAGACCAGAGAGAGACTAGATACCAAAGAGAGAGGCCACAGAGAGAGACCGGAAAGAGAGAGAGACAGGAGCGAGAGACCAGAGAGAGATTAGAGATACCAGAGATAGGCCACAGAGAGAGACAAGAAAGAGACTAGTGAGAGACCAGAGAGAGACTATAGATACCAGAGAGGTAGGCCGCAGAGAGAGACAAGAGAGAAAGAGACTGGAAAGAGAGAGACCAGAGAGAAAGAGGCAAAGTAAATATCAAAATCAATCAACGTTTATTTATAGAGCGCCTTTCCTACACAAGGCAACGCAAAGCGCAAGGCAACGCAAAATCTTCCACCCATTTTTTCTCTATGCCGTATTCCCCACTGTGGGACTAATAAAGACATTCATTCGTTCTTATTTTTCCTCATTTACAACTCAGCATAATGCAAGAATCATTCCAAAAAGTCAGAACGATCATACCAAGTTTTTCTCGTTTACAATCTCAGACATCTCGACAGCTTCATAGCGGTTCAGTCTCACCCATGTCCTGTTCGTGCTGAGTGTAGTAGCTGGACAGACGGGATCTCTGTGGTCTATAACCTCAGCCCGAGCAGGAGGTGCAGACACAGACATTACCACCTCTGCTCCGTCCTGTTAGCGCCCGGCTGGAGAGCTGTCCTGAGCGAGCCACAGCCTGTCCGCACGCACGCCACGTTCAAACTAGTGTCTGTCCAAATGCACGCCACGCTCAAACTAGTGTCTGTCCAAACGCACGCCACGCTCAAGCTACTGTCTATCCGCACGCACGCCACGCTCTAACTACTGTCTATCCAAACGCACGCCACGCTCACACTACTGTCTATCCGCACGCACGCCACGCTCACACTACTGTCTATCCGCACGCATGCCACGCTCAAACGAGTGTCTGTCCAAACGCACGCCACGCTCAAGCTACTGTCTATCCAAACGCACGCCACGCTCAAACTACTGTCTATCCGCACGCACGCCACGCGCACACTACTGTCTATCTGCACGCACGCCACGCTCAAACTACTGTCTATCCGCACGCACGCCACGCTCAAACGAGTGTCTGTCCAAACGCACGCCACGCTCAAGCTACTGTCTATCTGCACGCACGCCACGCTCAAACTACTGTCTATCCAAACGCACGCCACGCTCAAACTACTGTCTATCTGCACGCACGCCACGCTCAAACTACTGTCTATCTGCACGCACGCCACGCTCAAACTACTGTCTATCCGCACGCACGCCACGCTCAAACTACTGTCTATCCAAACGCACGCCACGCTCAAGCTACTGTCTATCCAAACGCACGCCACGCTCAAACTACTGTCTATCCAAACGCACGCCACGCTCAAACTACTGTCTATCCAAACGCACGCCACGCTCAAACTACTGTCTATCCAAACGCACGCCACGCTCAAACTACTGTCTATCCAAACGCACGCCACGCTCAAACTACTGTCTATCCAAACGCACGCCACGCTCAAAACTACTGTCTATCCGCACGCATGCCACGCTCAAACTACTGTCTATCCAAACGCACGCCACGCTCAAACTACTGTCTATCCAAACGCACGCCACGCTCAAACTACTGTCTATCCAAACGCACGCCACGCTCAAACTACTGTCTATCCAAATGCACGCCACCTTCAAACTACTGTCTATCCAAACGCACGCCACGCTCAAACTACTGTCTATCCAAACGCACGCCACGCTCAAACTACTGTCTATCCAAACGCACGCCACGCTCAAACTACTGTCTATCCACACTCACGCCACGCTCAAACTACTGTCTATCCAAACGCACGCCACGCTCAAACTACTGTCTATCTGCACGCACGCCACGCTCAAACTACTGTCTATCCAAACGCACGCCACGCTCAAACTACTGTCTATCCAAAGGCATGCCACGCTCAAACTACTGTCTATCCAAACGCACGCCACGCTCAAACTACTGTCTATCCAAACGCACGCCACGCTCAAGCTACTGTCTATCCAAACGCACGCCACGCTCAAACTACTGTCTATCCAAACGCACGCCACGCTCAAACTACTGTCTATCCAAACGCACGCCACGCTCAAACTACTGTCTATCCAAACGCACGCCACGCTCAAACTACTGTCTATCCAAACGCACGCCACGCTCAAACTACTGTCTATCCAAACGCACGCCACGCTCAAACTACTTTCTATCCGCACGCATGCCACGCTCAAACTACTGTCTATCCAAACGCACGCCACGCTCAAACTACTGTCTATCCAAACGCACGCCACGCTCAAACTACTGTCTATCCAAATGCACGCCACCTTCAAACTACTGTCTATCCAAACGCACGCCACGCTCAAACTACTGTCTATCCAAACGCACGCCACGCTCAAACTACTGTCTATCCACACTCACGCCACGCTCAAACTACTGTCTATCCAAATGCACGCCACGCTCAAGCTACTGTCTATCCGCACGCACGCCACGCTCAAACTACTGTCTATCCGCACGCACGCCACGCTCAAACTACTGTCTATCCAAACGCACGCCACGCTCAAACTACTGTCTATCCAAACGCACGCCACGCTCAAACTACTGTCTATCCAAACGCACGCCACGCTCAAACTACTGTCTATCCGCACGCACGCCACGCTCAAACTACTGTCTATCCACACGCACGCCACGCTCAAACTACTGTCTGTCCAAACGCACGCCACGCTCAAACTACTGTCTATCCACACTCACGCCACGCTCAAACTACTGTCTATCCAAATGCACGCCACGCTCAAGCTACTGTCTATCCGCACGCACGCCACGCTCAAATACTGTCTATCCGCACGCACGCCACGCTCAAACTACTGTCTATCCAAACGCACGCCACGCTCAAACTACTGTCTATCCAAACGCACGCCACGCTCAAACTACTGTCTATCCAAACGCACGCCACGCTCAAACTACTGTCTATCCAAACGCACGCCACGCTCAAACTACTGTCTATCCAAACGCACGCCACGCTCAAACTACTGTCTATCTGCACGCACGCCACGCTCAAACTACTGTCTATCCAAACGCACGCCACGCTCAAACTACTGTCTATCCAAAGGCATGCCACGCTCAAACTACTGTCTATCCAAACGCACGCCACGCTCAAACTACTGTCTATCCGAACGCACGCCACGCTCAAACTACTGTCTATCCAAATGCACGCCACGCTCAAGCTACTGTCTATCCGCACGCACGCCACGCTCAAACTACTGTCTATCCGCACGCACGCCACGCTCAAACTAGTGTCTATCCAAACGCACACCACGCTCAAACTACTGTCTATCCAAACGCACGCCACGCTCAAACTACTGTCTATCTGCACGCACGCTACGCTCAAACTACTGTCTATCTGCACGCAACGCCACGCTCAAACTACTGTCTATCCAAACGCACGCCACGCTCAAACTAATGTCTATCCAAACGCACGCCACGCTCAAACTACTGTCTATCCAAACGCACGCCACGCTCAAACTACTGTCTATCCAAACGCACGCCACGCTCAAACTACTGTCTATCCGCACGCACGCCACGCTCAAACTACTGTCTATCCACACGCACGCCACGCTCAAACTACTGTCTGTCCAAACGCACGCCACGCTCAAACTACTGTCTATCTGCACGCACGCCACGCTCAAACTACTGTCTATCCGCACGCACGCCACGCTCAAACTACTGTCTATCTGCACGCACGCCACGCTCAAACTACTGTCTATCTGCACGCACGCCACGCTCAAACTACTGTCTGTCCAAACGCACGCCACGCTCAAACTACTGTCTATCTGCACGCACGCCACGCTCAAACTATCCACTCATACAACTGTAAATATACAGAATATATATTTCACTGCAAAAAGAGGTTAAATGACTCTTAATTTGAGCACATTTGGACTTGTCTTATTTTAAAGAGACACAATAAACGTCTCTTTTGGAATCAGAAAATAAAACAACAGTTTTTGAAATAGGACAAAATGTGTTTGGCAAATCTTGTTTTTCTCCAAAGACATGAAAGTAACTGCTATTTTCAATCCTTTTTATTGGATATTGGCAACTATTGAAAGCCAGTTTTCTCAATTTTTGTCCCATGATTTGAACCATTGAGCAGAAAATATATATTTATAAAAAAATTATGAGTAAGTAAGTAATCTTTATTTAGCGCCTTTCACAGACCAGAGTCACAAAACCACTGACAGTTGTTGTGAGCATTTGTCTCTCACTCACACAGAGATGGGAGTGAGGTCGCTGAACAGGAGGCGCATGCCAGATCTATTGTACATGTTTTTAATTGTAGGGGAAACCGGAGCATCCGGAGGAAACCCACGCAGACACCACAATGTAAATCTATTGACTATACAGTATTGGAGAGTGACAGAATACATGAAACGCCATTGTGTATTCAGAATGCTCTTTCTGAGTAACTGTAATCCCTTACTACTGTAAAGTTCAGTATTTAGAAAACAGTTACTTTCTGAAGAATAGATACTTTCTCTCATTATGTTTAAAGGTTAAAAAAAGAATCTTCACTTCTCAAAGTGAAGATTCTGTGTTCTGGTTGTTAAATGCAGCTGTTGAAGCACTTTGACTTGTTTAAGTCAAAGTGTAAAAGTTTAAATAAAAGAATTCTAAGTATTCAGAATACAGCTACTACTTTTTCCTAAGTAGCTTTTGGTCGGCTGGTTTTCTTTCCTGGAGACGTTCATGTATGACACATTCTGTAAAGTAGAAGTTTGAGGATCTGAAACATCCTCTTAAAGCCTTGTGTGATATAGTGCAATATTATTGGAGAGAGCAGCTCAGATGGCTCTGTTGACTCAGGCTGGCAGACCCACTGTCGCTGTTGGGAAAACAAACAGTTGTGTTCAGACCCAACACAACTGCTGAAGTCAGGAGGAAATGCATGATGGGAACTGGAGCTCGGGGAGGATGCGCTGCTGCCAGAGAGGGGGACATAATGTGGCAATTCAGAAAGCAGGTTTGGACTTTTATAGCGAGAGTAAGGTGACGTTATGAGGAGAAATGATGCTCCTCAAAAAGCAAAAATGTGATTTTCAAGATGTTGTGTCTTCTTCCGAGCCTTGACTCACTGTTTTTTCAGTTTTTCATAAATTCAATGCAATTCAATTTATTTTTGTATAGCCCTTAATCACAACAGTATAGTTATGTCTGATGACTTAATAAGGTTGTTGAAAAGCAATGATAAAAAACACAAAATTGCTCCATTGGGGGCGGATGACCAGTGTCCATAAATGTCCTCAATCATCACTACTGTCCTTAGATCAGGGTGTCAAACTCATTTTTGTCGTGGGCCAAATAAAAAAATATTTATTGCAAATGGTTATTAATGGCTGAGTTAGCAAATGTCAATCTGATGCAACGCCAGCCTATCCCCACCTGCGCTATTCAGAATCGCAAACACATTTTTTATTGTTTTATTTTTTCGGTTTTGTGGAAAAGTAAGGTGTATTATAAATTAAATTTATTATTATTATTAAATTATCTATCTTACAAAACTCAAGCAAAAAAAAACAATCTTAAAGCTTCACTAACTGACTTTGGGATTTTGAAGCCGCAGACTCGCTGGCCTCGCTCTTTCTGCTCCCCACACACACCCACTGTTGTTTACGGAGCGACTGTCTCCCAATATGGATAAATACATGGATATGGATTTTCACGTGGATGGCGTGACCATAGAACGACAGAACCGGGAAGCGCGGAGGAACGAGACTTTCTTTTGGATGGCTGTTTCGCTGTGTAAGCAGTAACCGGTGACGAAGACGAGGAAGCTTCAGGTTAGCTCCGCCACTTGTTGTGCTAACTCAGCTGTCTGTGCTATAACGGACCTGTAGATTTCTCACGAAAGTGGGGGCTAGTGGTCCGCTGTGATTGGTCACAATCTGCGACCCGAAACACATTCTCTTCCTTGTTTCATCAAAACTCGATCTAAAATATAATGTCACGCCGACACAAATCTGCGCCGCTCAAGAAGTTTCAATGTAAGTCACGAGGAGTCAGAGCGAGAACGAGCAAAACTTGAGCTAGCTAGTATAGCATTGTCCATTTGTACACAGTCTACAAGTTGACTTCGCACGTTTCCTACTTCCATAACCAATGTTTTTTGTAATTACACACAATCCAAAGTGGAGCGGGTGCCAGATCCTCCGTGTGTTTTGGGCGATAGAGTCACACTTATCAATCGCACGCCGTCGCTCATAAATCTCGGGACAAAGCGCTGCGCTCAGGTCTGGAGCAAACGTGGCCCGCGGCGCTGTTGGCTCTATCACTCACCTGTCGCCGTGATGGAGAGAGCTCGCCGGTCGCCCTGAAGGAGGCAGGATGAATGTGCTGCTCACGGGATATGATGGAGACCCACTGTCTACCAGCCTCTGACGCGCCATTCTTCACCCGCGCTAATGCTAACAGCCCACTCGCTTCTAAACTGGGCATGGCATATCTGTTTTGAATACCTTTGGACAACTTTGTATTGGCGTTTCGGTGCGTGGGGATGAAGTATGAATGGGGGTTTTTTTTCGCTGAGGTGAAGAGAACATGCAAACGTTGTCACTGCTTCTTCTTTTTGTTCTGAGGTGAAAGGAACATTTGTGTTGTGGATGAAGGTCTCCGCACCGAAACTTCTTATTTTCCTAAAAAAAAATGTTTAAGGCAAGGATAGCAGTGAGCGGGAACCATTAAGTTTAAGTTTTTCATATTTTTTGCCATTGATTTTTGAGTTGTTCCTCGCCGATGCAGGAGGACAATGTTGATCCATGATTTAGGACTTTACACAAAATACATTGATTGGTTATTTTTTTTATTCGGCCTCATCATGAATGTTGCTTTGAGAAAATATATTTGCAACATCCACTTAAATAACACACTATAGAATGCGGGTGTCCAGATTCACATTCTTTCAGGGGGATTCTTTTTGGTTTTCAGATTTCAATGCACTATATTGAAGTCACAATGAAATTGTGTTAGGGTTAGGGTCATATGTGTTGTTTTTGTGTTCTTTGTGATTTGTTTTTCTTACCCTGAACCATAGTCTGTAATTGAGTTTGTGATGATGATGATGATGATGTCAGGCTAAGGATAGAAAGTATAGAACATTTATTTTAATTTGGATGATTTTATAACAAATAAAATAGCAAATTACCATAGCAGGCCTGTATCTCTGCAAAACGTGACCATATTTGTTTTCAGCCCCTTTGACTATTATAATTGTAATTTCCTTATATTATTAGCTTATCTTACAAATATATTTTTATTCTCTGATCTGTTTTTAAAGGAATCTGCAACCTTGGAAAGTGCTCCGAGATCTTAAAAAAATGTGTGCACTGTCACTTTAAGAAGATATTTTGCTTTCATTTCAACTGTTTGACAGAGTTTTAAGGTAAAAGTTGAAAAGAAAAAAACCAGTGCATTCATATGTTGTCCAAAGTTTTCCACAAACAGAAGTGCTGACTGCGGCTGCTGCTGATGCGGTCGCGATACTGAACATTGCACTAATCTCTAAATCACCGCTGATTGTGGAGAAACGTGGAGGTGCTGCCGTCAGGAGATGGGACTGGATAATGTGGAGGAAAAATCATTCTTCAAAATAAAACAAAAGACAACAATAGAGAGAGTTATTTTCATTTAGTAAAATGTATTTTAATATCAATCAATCAACTTTATTTGTATGGCGCCTTTCCAACACAAGGCCACTCAAAGCGCCTCACAACCCACATAGTATCACACAAATCAGAGACATCAATAAATACATTAAAAACAGAATAAAATCACAAATAATGGAAAAAAAAAAAAAAAAAAAAAAAAAAAAATATTAAAAGCACACACGGGATTAAAATAATAAATAACCACAATGCATTAAAAAAAAAAGAGTATGTATCAATAGAATCCTTCAGCCGTATGCACAGCTAAAAAGAACAGTTTTTAGCCCCGATTTAAAAATTGCCAGAGTAGATGCTAGCCTCACATCTTCAGGAAGATTGTTCCAGATTTTAGCTCCATAAATCTCAAACGCTGCCTCCCCATGTTTAGTTCTGACTCTTGGAACCAGTAAGAGGCTACCTCCTGTGCTCCTCAGAGTCCGGGTCGGTTCATATGGGACTAACAAGTCGCTTAAGTACCCTGGTGCGAGGCCATGGAGAGACTTGTACACAAGCAGTGCTGCTTTGAAGTCTATTCTCTGAGCCACAGGAAGCCAGTGCAGAGACCTGAGAACTGGACTAATGTGGTCATATTTCCTGGTCCTGGTCAGGACTCGAGCTGCAGCATTTTGGACATACTGCAGTTGTTTTACAGCCTGTTTGGAGAGACCTGTGAGCAGGCCATTGCAGTAGTCTAACCCTACTGGAGACAAATGCATGGATGAGAATCTCCAGATCTGATTTAGACACTCCAGGGAGAGAGACTGGATGTTTCGACGAATAACGCTCTCTCTTTGTTTCTGAGGACCAAAGACAATCAATTCTGTTTTGTCTGCGTTTAGCTGAAGGAAGTTATTTTGCATCCAATCACTAATCTGTTGAGTACAGTGAAGGAGTGATTCCACTGGTCCATGTTCTCCTGCAGTAAGTGAGACATAAATTTGAGTGTCATCAGCGTAATTGTGGTAGGATACATTGTTGGAGCGTATTAACTGACCTAACGGCAGCATGTAAATATTGAACAGAAGAGGCCCCAGAATTGATCCCTGTGGCACTCCGCAGGTCAGAGCCATATGATCTGAGACACAGTTTCCTATCTGAACCAAGTATTTCCTGTCTTCTAGGTAAGACCTAAACCAACTTAGGGCAGTCCCAGTGACACCCACCCAGTGCTCTAGTCTCTGCAGGAGGATCTCGTGGTCGACTGTGTCGAACGCAGCACTCAGATCCAACATTACTAAAACTGTGACTTTTCCTGTGTCGGTGTTAAGTCGGATGTCATTTGTAACCTTCACTAGTGCAGTCTCAGTGCTGTGATTGGCTCTAAAGCCGGACTGGAGCGCATCAAACGAACTATTAGTTACTAAGAATTCTGTAAGTTGTTGGTAAGCAACTTTTTCCAGAATTTTTCCCATAAACGGCAGATTTGAAATGGGGCGATAATTCTTAAGAACTGTGGCATCTAGACTCCTCTTTTTTAGGAGGGGTCTGATGACTGCCGTTTTCAGGGCCATTGGAAATGTTCCAGATGAGAAAGACATGTTCACTATTTGTGTGAGCAAAGGTAAAAGACTGCTCAAAACAGACTTAAAAAATTTAGTGGGTAGTACATCCAGGCTACATGTGGAGGAACTAAGGCTAGAGACAACATCTTGGACAGTTTCATTATCTGTTGGTGCAAAGTGCGATAGCTCAAACAGCCTCACCGGCTGTTGTAATGTTATTTCTGCCTTGGAGGTGATGGCGTTTTTGATGCTCTGAACCTTGTCATTGAAAAATTGTGCAAACTCATTACATTTAGATTCTGAAGCAAATTCGAATGGCAGCTGAACAGGGGGGTTTGTTAATCCGTTAACTGTTGAAAACATAAGTCGTAGATTATTATTGCAGCCATCAATGGTTTTAGAAAAATAAATTTCTCTTGTTCTACGTAGCACCCTGTTAAACTTGCACAACTCATTTTTGAAGATATCATGATCAACCTGGAGATTGGATTTTCGCCACTTCCGCTCGGCCCTACGGCACTCTCTCTTCTGTACCATGACTGAGTCCATTTTAGTCCAGGGGGCCTTTGGCTTATTTGTAATCATTTTAACCTTCACAGGAGCGATGATGTCCAGAACATTTATAACATTGGCGGTGACAGAGTTAAACAATTCGTCAACAGTAGAACACAATGTGTTCTCAAAGTTTATCATTCCCATGAATAGTTCGGTTGTGTTTTCATTTATGTGTCTGTGTCTGACAATTGCAGATTCAGATATATATGGTTGTTTGCTATCAAAACACATGTCAAAAAATACACAGAAGTGATCTGACAGAGCCACGTCAACCACATTTACATTTAAAATATTAACCCCCTTTGTAACCAGCAGGTCTAGAGTGTGCCCTTTGCTGTGGGTGGGGCCACTCACGTGCTGAGTGAGACCAAATGTTTCAAGTACAGAACTCAGCTCTTTTGCATTTTTGTCATTGCCATTATCCACATGAATATTAAAATCACCTGTAATCACTAAACTATCAAAATCGGTGCAAACAACTGAAAGCAACTCAGTGAAATTATCCAAGAAATTGTGACAAGACTGCGGTGGCTTGTACAGGACAATGATAAGAATAGAAGGAGATTGTTTTTGTTCTATTTTAAAAGAAATATACTCAAATGATAGAAAATTTCCAAGGAGAATTCTATGAGAGATAATACGATCTCTAAATAATGCAGCAATGCCTCCCCCCCTTTTATTTTCTCGGATTTCAGATTCAAATTTGAAGTTTGGTGGCGTTGCTTCTATTAAAACCGCATTACCTGTACTCTGGTCAAGCCAAGTTTCAGTCAGAAACATAAAATCAAGATCATAAGAACGGATAAAATTATTAATTAAAAATGATTTGTTGCACAGTGATCTGACATTAAGCATAGCAATTTTAAAATTAATATCAGTAACAGTGGGTTTAGTTAATTGATTTTTACAAGGAGCAGGAATTAGATTTGAATGTCTAACTGCTGTCCTTCTGTTATGATTTTGTTTTCCATTCAAATAAAAACATTTTTTGAAACTGATGCGAGGAACACACACAGTTTCTATTTGTCTAATATGTGAACTCTTTTGCTGTGTAAGTCCTTGGGACTATAAGCATATAGTCCCAAGCAGGCATGGCCAAACTCAGGCCCGTGGGCTAAATGGGGCGCTCTGCGTCATTGTATGTGGCCCTCTGCCTCGCTAACACAAACTAGTCTTAAAGATCATAACCAAACTTTCACAGTCTCATCCAGCCAACTTCAGCTCCACCAACGTAGTCATGCTATACCTCGTTGTAATGAGGTATAGCAATGTAGCTGTGGTGAGAGAGATCAGGCTAGTAAACTTTTGTTCTGGACATATTGTACCATTTTAATGCTCAGAACAGCCCAAATCTAGTGAAAACCATTTTTAAATCTAGGTTGTCGGCCACTGGACAAGGGTTAACTGAGGTGTCCTACTTACTTAAAAGTTTGGGCACCTCTGGTCTAAAGTGATCATCATGGCGTTCAAATTGTGATTAGATACTTTACAACTACATGTCTGTATGTGCAACCGTTACTTTTTATGTCGATAAAAAAATAAAAAAAAGTTACCAAAGGAAAGCAATTTTAATCTTTAGTCTTGTTTCAGTACATAAATTACATGGACTTTTTATCAACATTTATGGACAG